ACGCTGCTCCAGGGCGCGCCGGGGCTCCCGCGCCCGCTGGGCTCCCCGTGTCCTGGCAGCCTGCACCCTGCTCTCCCAGGGCCCCAGGGCAGCAGGAGCTGCTGGGCCTCCCTGGCAGGAGGGCCCAGAGCAGAGGGGAAGGGCAGAGGCCGGAGCGGCGCTGACCTTCTCGTCCTGCTGCTCCTCCAGGGCCGCGTCCTGCGGCTCCTGCAGCAGCACAGCTGCTGGCGGCGCCTCCTTGCCTGCTCCGGCACCCCGCTGCGCGGCCCTGGCCTTCTGCTGCGTCTTCCCTGGCTCTTCTTTCGTCTTCCCCTTCTTCCCTTTCTTCCCTTTGTCCTCCTTGTTGGACCCTGCGGACTGCAGTCGCACACAGCGGGGTCAGAGCCGGCAGCCCCGACGACCACAGCCCGGGGGACAGCGAAGGCCTCGCGCTCACCCCCAGCAGCTTCATGATGAGCTCCCGGTCCTCTTCATCCTGGTCCTTGTACTTCTCCTTCATCTTCTTCATTTTACTCTGCAGAGAAAACACACCGACAGCCTTAGAAACAGTGACCTTGGGAGAGATTTGCACTCACAAACACCTAAATGCTGTCCCCACAGCTGCACTGCTTCCAGGGCAGCTCCCCACTAACCAACGGGTTATTTTCCAGACAGAGAACCACGGGGTGCTCGATGCTGACAGGACAGCACCCACGACCTTGAAACCACCATGAACGTATCTGCTTTTAAACTAATTCTCCAGGCAGCTGTGAGTGTCTGACCACAAGCTGGAACTACTGCCTGCCTGGGAGAACGTGAGCCCGTATTCCCAGGGAAGCAGCTCCAGGGAAGCTTGATCCCTGCCTACCTTCTGGCCCCGCTTGATGGGCTGCGGGGCTGGCAGCCCCTTGTTGCTGTTGGGCGCAGGGGGATGCTGCGTTTCCAGCTCTTTCTGCTTCTCCTCCAGTGGCTCCAGGTTCTCAGAGTCATTCTGTTGCTTCTTCTTCTTCATTTCTCTATGCAAAGCAAATGATCACTCAACACAGCCCCTCTTGTGGGCTGCCACCCTTCTGCCAGCGTTAACACCCTGCACGTGTCCCCACCAAAACAGAGACGCTCTCACCTCCTCTCCTTGGCAGAGAGGTGCCTTCGCCCCGGGGCCTTGCTGTCACTCTGAAAAGCGAAACGTGGTTAACGCGCTCGCGTGCTGGCAGCTCACGCTGCTCTTCGTCAGACACCTGAGCTGGGGCCTTACCAAGCTGGGTCCTTCCTCTTTGGGGACGGTTTTCTGCAGGGACCTGTGGGGAGACTGCAATGGAGCTGGCAGCTCAAGAGAGCTTTTCCAACAGCAAGGAGCTGCTCAGGAGGGCCCAGGCTGCTGAGACACGCAGCTGCCCCTTCCCTTGCCTTTGTGACTGGAGGTGTGACAGGTCGATTGTCGTATCCGGGTAGTTTATCTCCTCCTCCTTCACCTCACTCTTTGGCTCTGGGTCTTCCACGTCATCTTCAGATTCTGCGTTGTCCTCTTCCAAGGCGCGCTCCGGCGCAGGAGGAGCGTTTCCCACGTCCTGCTCCGGGCCAACACCCTCCTCGTCACGGTTCCTCTCAGACGCGGCTTCCGCATCCTCCGGTGCCTCCGGATCCGCTGCTCTCTCCTCCTCGCTGCTGCTGTCTCCTCCCTCTGTGAGGAAAACGCAGCTGCCATTAGAGACGCGGCACCGGCAACGCGCAGGGACCGGAGCACACGGACCCCGACGTCCCCACGGGGCTCCAGCCACCCCCTCCATCCTACCCAGGAGCTCCAGCTCCTCGGACACCAGCTCGCCGGCACCGCTGGAGACCATTTCCAGGTCCTCATCCTGCACTTTGATCTTCCGTTCTTCTCGGTGCCTCCAAACGCAGCTCTCATCCACCTGACAACAGAGGTGTCTTTACGTCAGGCCACGTCACTGCCAGTGATGCTCATTAGCCTCCTGGCAGAGACACCGACCCGGCACTTCATTATTTCTCTTTGTACACTTCTTACATTCCCAGGAGAAAGAAACTAAACCGGAACATTTAAACCTATTCTGGCAACCTCAAAATTAACCTAATG